ACTCTCCGTTTAATTTACTGGTACTTGTCATAATTGTATTACCGCAACTTCCAAGTACAGTAACCGACGGGTTATATGTTAACTTCATGTTTCGATAGCAGCGATTTCTATAGTCTGTTTCATTATGGATTTTCTTCACGCTGTTTTCAGTAGTCTCTGCCAGCAGAAAGCACGCATTTTGTACGTTTGTGATTGAAAGTTTAATATCGCTGAACTCTCCGTTTAATTTACTGGTACTTGTCTTAATTGTATTACCACAATTTCAAATAATAACAGACCATTTATATGTTCACTTCGTTTCAATAGTAGCGACTTCTAGTCTGTTTCTGTATAGATTCTCTTCACGCTGTTTGTAATACATTCTGCCAGTGGAAAGTGCACAGTTTCCCGTACTTGTACACTAGATCCATTCAGTTGCTCCCTGTCTAAAAGGATCGTTGTACAACATGTTTGGTATTCTTCTTATAAAATGCCTTATTTTCCTTGGAACGGATTTCCGCACTATCAAATTAGCTTTTAATAATACGAACCTGTTCATTTTTGATAATTCCATTTTTTCCTGAAAGATCCCAGATATAATGCCAACTTTAAGGAGTATTATTTACCCAAATCATTATGGTTTAGAAACCAGTCCCTTTCTCATCTCCATTGTGTTTACAGCTAATCTTCTTTTAAACTTTGATCACAAACGCTTGGAAGACTTGTTGTTTTCTTAGCTGATTGGTTGAATTGCTTCAACAAGGACATGACAAGAGGTGACCGACATGTGTTGTTACTGTTAGATAATGGTCTAAGCCATCTCATCCCTGAGCACGGGTCAAATTACAAGATCCATTTCCTGAATATTACAATAACAAGTCACCAACACCTCTGCATGCTTGTATCTTCCATCCTGAACAGACCCAGGGACAAAATGGGAATTCTTTTCTTGGTCAAAACGGACCGGTGAAATTTCCTATTGATAATCCAGATCAGCTTATACTCGTACACAGTATAGCACATATCCTTCCGCATATCCGAATGCTTTTATATAACAACAAGAGAAAATGCCTTAATGGTAATAAATTAGTTTAATTAAGAACTCAGTTTCAATGATTTTTAGTACTCTGTATAACCAAAGTACAATTTTGCAAAAGTACTTCTATGAATAGAACAGGATCCGCTTCTACAATTCCTAACCAGCGGGAGCCCGACATCGCTGCTTGCAGCTATATTTTAGTATTGTGTTTTTTAAAGGAAATTGAACTGATTCATAAATTTTGATGTACAAAAAATATTTTCTATATATTGGTAGTGCTAATAAATAACTTAGATTGTAAGTGGCTGTGCCCTCGAGGGGGGTTGAAGTAGCGTAAAATTATTGTCCCCCTAAGAGGGTATGTCAGTCCCACATCATTCAATGTATTGTTATGCATACCAGAATTTTAAAACGTAGTATTTTTGTCATTTTAATCTAAGGCTTAACTGGTAAACTATCGCCAGTGACTGAAGGGATGATATAAATCCAGCCAGGGCCCATGCAGGAAGCAAAGGCATTGTAAGTCCCCATGGTCCCTGGTATGGTGATCTCCCTTTAGTTACTGATGATCTCTAGCCCATTTTTATATTGTGTTGTTAACTCATTCTTTCTGCTTTTATATGTTCCTCAACTAGTTTTAATACACTCTGTGATATTCTAGTTATTGTACTGTCCTTCGATGACAGGTTTTTATAAAGTATACATACTTATATGTTATTAATGTATTAATTCTCGTCACGATATGGCTGAAATATTGCCGATGTGACGTTAAATATCAACTCACTCACTCACTCACTCACTCACTCACGATGACGCCAAGTGTGATGACCCTGTGCCCACTGAAGTCGTGCTTGTCGATGCCGTGGTTGGAGAGCAGGACGACGTGCTGGTCGGCGACGTCTGAGGTTGTTGGAACGGAGACGTCGGATCACAGTGTCTCGGCTAATGTGTCGATTATGTGTTCCTATGGTCTGTCGAGCACTTTCACTTGCAGTTAGGATGTTGCTGGTGTTGACGGGTAATCTGCCGATCTTGTCGAGGTGTGGTGATCCTAGCACGACCGCTCCGAGGAAGGTCATCTGTGGTCTGTGTAGCATTGTATCGATGCAGGAGACGGTAAATTGTGGTTCTGTTAACCTTGAAATGACGGGCAACATCTTGGACAGACTGTCCAGCTTCCAAACGTCCGATCGCCTGGTTTCTCTGAATTTGAGTAAGGCGTGGCATTGTTGACCAAGGAGTGGTAGGTCCAAGAATCGGCCACAGTTTATACCCACTACAGTTCGAGAAAGTTCGTGCATTTTCGATTTCGCGAGAAATGAGTGCGTTTTGGCGATTCGTTTTTTATGTTGCGTTGGGCTTCCAAAATGCAATAAAAAATATTGATAATACCATCAGGCTTCACTACATGCTAAAACTCGTATCAATTTATGGTTCCGTGTTTGTTACCTATTTGCTTAAAACCACTTGTGTTTCTTTTGCGTGTGAGTATATATATTCAGATCGCATACCCTTCGTGTGATCCTTGGCCTGTCCTCACTTGTTGGGCTTTCTTGCAACAATAAACCGACACGATGTCATATCCAAGCGGCGTTAAATCCAACCCTCTTTCATCTTTGTTTTTATTATAGGAAATAAATCCAGTTCAGCACACCAACATTATTGGAAAATATCCTTATATGTGATTTTACGGTGCTATGATGATCACCGGTGTTTCATAACCATTTTGTAAACAGTTACACATCACTGAAAAATAGAAATAACAGACAAATCACATCGTTAAACATACCACAGTTTGCTTTCATACACTCGTAAGAAAATGCAATTACAAAATAGAATACGTGTTTGATGTACTGGGTTGGGATGGAGTAGTTGGTGGACACCACTGTGGATGTGGTTGTCATAATTATCGATGCTGCTGCAGTTGGGGCTAAAGAGTGAGTGAATATGGTTTCATGCCGCTTTTAGCAATATTCCAGCACTATCACGGCGGGGGACACCAGAAATGGGCTTCACACATTGTACCCATGTCGGGAATCGAACCCGGGTCTTCGGCGTGACGAGCGAACGCTTTAATCACTAGGCTACCCGACCGCCCCGTACCCTATTATCATAAACATGACCTGCCCTACTGGCATCACCATTTCTTGGCAAGTGGCATATTACTCATGATTTCTCTACACTTGGAAATTGCATATTTTTCAACCTTCTGTTCCTCCGGCTTGACGTTGTTGTAGTTGACCTGCATCAGGAGTTCCTGGAACTTGGCTGCTGACTAGTACCTGACGTCACCAGTCTCCTCCCCAGGCTGGGTGAAGTTTCGAATGAACAGATACTCACTGAAGATTGGCCCCATTGAGCCTTGTGGTGGCCATGATAGTTTCTCCATCAGCAGAGGGATGATGGGCTTACCCAGGCTTACGGAGAGGTTCACCTCAGCCACAGTGATGGACGGATTCGAGTGTACCGAGGTGAACGTTATGTCAATCATTGTGTCATGGAAGAAGATCGGTTCGGGGGCGGCCTCATATTGCTCGACTTGTTCAGGATTCTCTTCAACAAAACAATGTGAATGTCATCCCCTGGCTGGCTCGCTCCCCAGATCTCTCACTAATCTAGCACACGTGGGGTGAGATGGATCGGCACCTTCGACGTCAACCACGTGTTCCACAGACACTCCAGGAAATTTAAAACATGCTCCAGCAGATATGGACAGATATCACAGGACTTTGGGGGACGCCTGGTCCATTCCACGAAGATGTATTGCTTGCATCGCAACCAGAGGTGGACACACACGCTATTCATTTGTAAATTGACAATTTGGCATGTTCATGTTCTTTATGAAATCACGCATTTTCTGAAGTCAGTATGGCAAATTAAACATTTTGAACACTTACAAGAGTCTTTTTTCTGTTGCAAACCGAAATTGTTTCAGATTTGGTAAAAAAGATAACTTTGCATTAGATCTTATTCAACGTCACTTCACCTTTTGTTGTTCAGTATATGTTATAGAAACATCTTGAACTTAGGTAGGTTGTATGTTGGGGGGCAATAGCGTGTTTACGGAACTCATTTTCATGGCTTTGGAATCCGCTTGCGTGTGAGGATCGCTCATCATCCCTGATTCCCTGCCTAGCCCATCTCGGAAGCTTGACCACTGTCGCCGCTAGGTGAATATATATTATTATCACTGACTTTTGCTATCACCACTGTATTTGTGTATTTGATACTGACCACTACCATGATATTATTTATTGTCATTGAATACTGTACTACTACACTATTGTTTACTGCCATTATAATTGCTGTGCAGTAATTTGTGTTTATTTGTAAACTTAGTGAATTTTGTAATACATTTGTTGATTGTAAACCATTTGTTGGTTTGACACTATGCTCTTTTACTACAGATGTCTGGGTTACCATATTGTTTAAATTTGGGAATCGGCACGTAACAGTGTTCTTTCTGGGAAAATGTTTCAGCAGTAAAAGCTGCTAACTTTTCTGCTTCAAAAAAGTGCCGCAACACAGACAAATTGATTGGATATAATTTCGTGATGGGTGTAAGTTCTTTGCAATGATTAATTCGAGAGGGGATATTAAAATGGTCAGCCATGAGCCCATTGCTACAAGATAAGTGTACTATACATGTAACACAAGCATCAGTCTTGGGGAACTGTTGACTGTGAGTATAAAGGATTGAAGTTACGTTGGACATAAGTACTGTTCCATGGTCTACTTCCATCACAAATGGTTTTTTTTGAGTCAGTCGATATCTGAACTTGCACATTTCATGTGTAGTGTGGACGTTGCTAAGAAACAAGGACGAAATACCTGAGGAGTTACTGACTGAAGTTTGTGCCGTTCACGTAGGATAATGTTTTAAACAAACACCAAGGCAACGACTAAATTGCGTTTCACTTTGGGGAAAATATTTTTACGAGTGACGTCTCAAGTAATAAAAGGAAGGACCCAACTGAGTTTCACTATTAAGAATATTTTATTATTACCAAAACCTACAATTATTCAATATTAACACAATTTCGATTACAATCTGGCAAACTAACATATATATTGCAAAGCAAAATAGGTGAAAACTCATCGTGATACAGAAACTCTACCAATCGGACACAATCCGGATCCTGGTAACAAACATATTCTGATCAGTTACCATTAGCCAACGACAGATTGTGCACAGACTCAGTCTGTGTCGACTAACAGTGATCCACTTTCCTGTCTCTCACAAATGACCGACATGGTCGAATACATCACAGGATTCACTGGCAGGAATGTCACAGACCGACATGGTCAATACAGAGACCTAGTAAGTGTGAACATCTTGGACCCGTCTCAGCTCGCAAAAACAAAACTCTCTCTCATGCCTTGAGGTAGCTATACACAATCTGGCCCCTGCTAGCTCAGTAACATGTCTACAAGCCTCTAAAACAATACACCATACCTTGCTACTCAATGTGGCGAGCGTACCAATCCTTCACAGTGGCAAAGCTAATCAATCACAGGTCCACCTTTGGTCCACCTATACTATATCCCCAATAACCTCTTTGGTTACAATACATGGTCAATATACATAATGCTCACATAAAACAATATGTATTTCTAGCAGATGAGATAGCAAAGTAATCATGGAGATAGACGAGTATTGTATTGTGGGAGGTTGACAATCATCCAGAGGTTGTAAACAGTAGGATCCATGGTTGAAAAGGACAAAAAATGATGTCAGTATACCCATCAGTGGTATTACTATAACTATCTGCCATGACAAAAAGTTTTAAACAAAATGCCTGATTTAAGCCAGAAGCTTGATAATTGTATCGAAATAATTTCTTTGGAAAGTATAAACTGTCTGACAAAAGCAAACGATGTTAACGATATCTGTCGACCTTTAAGTGAACAATTTTGCTTATAGCCTCCTATAACTATAACATTGTCGAGTACGTCTGAAAATCAAGCTAGTATGATCAACTGATCACTTTGACTGAATGAGGTAATACTAAAATTCCAAAATAGCTAGACAATCACGGCAATGTTGATTATCCATGGATTACTAGAAAAATTGAGCTTTCGAAACTCTAGCTTCTAAGTTCTTAGTTCAGTACAACCAGAAAAAAATCAGAACAAGTTCTGTGTCTTTATCCTGGTGGGTAAAGACACAAGAACCCGACAGAAGTATGAATATGCTGCGCAACCGAGGAAAACCACAGACTGGGGTACTTAGCCATTCTGTGTTTCTAAACATGTTGAAAACACGAAAAGCAAACCAACTACTACATCCATATTGAAATGAAAGTATCAAAATAAAGTGCTGAATATAAGCCATCCAACAATATCATTACAGATTTACAACAAGCTATATACAATTATTGATGAGGCAAAAATTACATAAATACATGAGAAATATCTGAGAGTACATATAAATACCCCTAATGTTTGAACATCATAGTTACAAAAACATTTTCAATACATGAATACATGATTTGAGAGTGCCATTAGATCACAAGAGAATGAAATAGTTGGGCCACTAATCCCTTAACACAGAATGTAATGACACCATACAACGATGACCGCCGGACTTTGCCGAGCAGTTACGGAATTAAAGCCAGGGAGCAGAGGGGTCTCTAAAGACATCATAGTTAAACACATCATACACTGGCCTGTGGTTGCATGGTTGTCATCTGTACTCCCAGGGAGTTTGCAGGCCGTTGATGGAAGGTTGTTATAGTTGGAAGTAGTAACCTGCCACTTGGCAAACAAGTATGGCTTCAGCATGGATCAACATTAATCAACATGAAACACCGTTTCTTATACGTCCATGACACACACCACAGGGATGATATGTTAACATATCCCATGAAAGATTTCTATTAAACATTATTTGCAGCAGCGTTACTATGTTCCTGATCACGGACGTTGATGGCAGAGGATCTTGTACATATATATCTAAACGTATGTGTATTCCTTTGCACGTTACCTGCATATTTCATACTACTTTGTACAAAATGCCACCACAGGATGCACAATCCCTGCCAGTATTCCTATTATAATCAAGGTGCGTTTACCATGAATTCTTGTATTCATGCCAAATAGTTCAAACAGCGGCAGAAACTCCTCGAACGTGTGCTCCAGTGTATACATGCCTGGCTCCCCACTACTTTGCCTGTGGAGGACTACCTGTTCAGGTTTCACCAGTTTGTTCCCCACCAAGATTGTCTGTTTTCCATGCAAGTGTTCCTCCACATATCTTTTGAACTCCTCCTTCCCATTGATGGAAAACTCTCTCTCATGCCTTGAGGTAGCTATACATATTCTGGCCCCTGCTAGCTCAGTAACATGTCTACAAGCCTCTAAAACAATACACCATACCTTGCTACTCAATGTGGCGAGCGTACCAATCCTTCACAGTGGCAAAGCTAATCAATCACAGGTCAACCTTGGGTCCACCTATACTATATCCTCAATAACCTCTTTGGTTACAATACATGGTCAATATACATAATGCTCACATATAACAATATGTATCTCTAGCAGATGAGATAGCAAAGTAATCAGGGAGATCGACAAGTATTGTATTGTGGGAGGTTGACTATCATCCAGAGGTTGTAAACAGTAGGATCCATGGTTGAAAAGGGCCTACGAGGACAAAAAATGATGTCAGTATACCCATCAGTGGTATTACTATAACTATCTGCCATGACACGAAGTTTTAAACAAAATGCCTGATTTAAGCCAGAAGCTTGATAATTGTATTGAAATAATTTCTTTGGAAAGTATAAACTGTCTGACAAAAGCAAACGTTGTTAACGATATCTGTCGACCTTGAAGTGAACAGTTTTGCTTAAAGCCTCCTATAACTATAACATTGACGAGTACGTCTGAAAATCAAGCTAGTCTAATCAACTGATCACTTTGACTGAACGAGGTAATACTAAAATTCCAAAATAGCTAGACAATCACGGGAAGGTTGGTTATCCATGGATTACTAGCAAAATGGAGCATTGGAAACTCTAGCTTCTAAGTTCTTAGTTCAGTACAACCAGAAAAATCAGAACAAGTTCTGTGTCTTTATCCTGGTGGGTAAAGACACAAGAACCCGACAGAAGTATGAATATGCTGCGCAACCGAGGAAAACCACAGACTGGGGCACTTAGCCAAACTGTGTTTCTAAACATGTTGAAAACACGAAAAGCAAACCAACTACTATATCCATATTGAAATGTAAATATCAAAATAAAGCGCTGAATATAAGCTTTCCAACAATATCATTACAGATTTACAACAAGCTATATACAATTATTGATAAGGCAAAAATTACATAAATACATGAGAAATATCTGAGAGTACATATAAATACCCCTAATGTTTGAACATCATAGTTACAAAAACATTTTCAATACATGAATACATGATTTGAGAGTGCCATTAGATCACAAGAGAATGAAATAGTTGGGCCACTAATCCCTTAACACAGAATGTAATGACACCATACAACGATGACCGCCGGACTTTGCCGAGCAGTTACGGAAATAAAGCCAGGGAGCAGAGGGGTCTCTAAAGACATCATAGTTAAACACATCATACACTGGCCTGTGGTTGCATGGTTGTCATCTGTACTCCCAGGGAGTTTGCAGGCCGTTGATGGAAGGTTGTTACAGTTGGAAGTAGTAGCCTGCCACTTGGCAAACAAGTATGGCTTCAGCATGGATCAACATTAATCAACATGAAACACCGTTTCTTATACGTCCATGACACACACCACAGGGATGATATGTTAACATATCCCATGAAAGATTTCTATTAAACGTTATTTGCAGCACCGTTACTGTGTTCCTGATCACGTACATTGATGGCAGAGGATCTTGTACATATATATCTAAACCTATGTGTATTCCTTTGCATGTGATGTGCATATTTCATACTGCTTTGTACAAAATGGCAACACAAGACCCACAATCCCTGCCAGTATTAACATTCCTATTCTTTTCCAGGGGCATTTCGGTAGCAAAGACGAAGGGCGTTTGGGTGGCAAACAATTATGCTGAATTCTTGTATTCATGCCAAATAGTTCAAACAGTGGCAGAAACTCCTCGAACGTGTGCTCCAGTGTATACATGCCTGGCTCCACACTACTTTGCCTGTGGAGGACTACCTGTTCAGGTTTCACCAGTTTGTTCCCCACCAAGATTGTCTGTTTTCCATGCAAGTGTTCCTCCACATATCTTTTGAACTCCTCCTTCCCATTGATGGAACTATTTTCATATAGTTCGTTCATGTGACTGTAAATGTCTCTACATATTTTGCACAGTTGCCAATCGGGTGGTCTTAGACCTTCTTGTATTGACTCCGAAACAGAAAGGAGTTGCGCTGTAACACTTTCAAGGGTAACTTCACAACTGTTCTTCACTTGTAGCAACTGAAGAGCAGCAGGGATTATCTTGTTCTTTTTGACGAAATCCAGTTCAGATTCATCCAAAATCAGATGAGTACATCCAACCAAATTCACTGTGTCCTCTCTGAACATTTCATTTGGGGCTGACAGACCAGAGTCTGCTTCATCAGCCTTCCAAACGAACTTCCATGTCTTGGGACGTTGAAGCACTGGCAAAAACCTGATTTTTAAAAGTTTTTGAAGAATAACTGGTGGGCACGTTGTGTCGCCTCCCAGATACTCTAATAGATTATGACACCTTTGAGTTGCCTTTTGATAATCTGTAAAGTACAATTCAGACACTGTACTCGCCCTTTCTACATATACATTCCAGGGCAAATTATCTTCTATCATTCCAGCTCTACAAAGACCACCAAGAACTGTCCCCTTCCTAAAACGTTTGTCTGGGAACATGTCATCTTCTTCTGAGAACAGGCTAGCACATGCTCCAGATGGACAAATGCAATCCTGAGGTCGTCTTAACGTGCCCTTATTAGATGTTGGGATGCATTTCGTAGCCTTCACTTGCTGATTGGTTGCAATGTCATTGCACTTTATAGCAGAGATGGTCAGAGAGTCCCTGTCTCTTGGTAACAAATATTCATCCTCAATATTTGGGAAAAACACATCACAGTAGAATGTTTGACTTGCCACACAGCGATTCTTGGCACCTCTCTCCTTGATGAGACACGCAATGACATTGTTTGGAATGTCTACAACAACTTCACTTTTATGTTTCCAAAAGTTTACCAAAGCTTTCAAAGCAATGTCTCCTATGTTTGGTTGGTTTCTTATGGATGTATCCAGATACCAGATGGTATTGAGAGGCAATCTTTGTTTTGTACTTTCTTCAACAAAGACTTCATGTTTCTCATCAACAATCATTTTGTAGAAACTCGACCCAAAACAGTCTCTACTGGTGGGCCACAGCTGGTAATACTCTGCTGTTGATACTGAGTTCAAGTCTATGTATTTCAATGCAGCAATGAATGCTCTGGGCACAACATCACGAAGTAAGATGTCATTCCATACAACTCCATGTATGGTCTTGTCATCCTCCATCCTTTTAAGTAGCTCTCTTCTGTTTTCATTGAGTGCAAATGTTGCATTGATATGAAATGGAAATGAATTTTCTATTGGTAGTGGAAGGAAAGTGAAGAAATGTCCCTTTCTGTAGAACCCAAAGGGACACATGCTCAGTTTTGTCATCGGTATGGCAACTGCAGCCAGGGGGAGCAAATCTTTCAGTACTCCAGATAATGCAAAAGTGTAGGACTCCTTTCCTCCTGTGTTCCATACAATAACCCACTCCACCTTTGCTCGCCCCCCACTGTGTACCAGGTTCAACTCTTTTATGTTGTTGGAAAGATCTATCTCAATGTCAGCCCTTTGAGCTACTGATAAGCTCTCGTTTTGCTGTGCTAGTCTTTGCCATTTGTTTGACGCATAAACCAAAATGTTTTCACTTTTTAGTTTGTCACCTTGTGGTAGGATAGCAGGTGGTATTTTAACATGCTTTACTACGTCTACCAACAGCTGTGGTACTCGAGGATCTCCTTCAGAGGGCACAAACAAAAACTTCAAAGATTTCACATTCTGTGTGAACAGAAGGAGGTTTCCACAGGCATCAACAAACTCTTTGAAGAGAGACTCTACCTCTGTCCTCGTGTAACAAGTATTACTAATGTCACTTTTACGTGCCTGCTCTTCTGTCCTAAGTGGAAATCGGAATAAAGTGCCATTGCAGATTACCTCTCTATTGAAGTCACAACCAAACACACCCTCGAATGGTTTAAATTGATTCCTCATTGTAGCTTTGTTTCTAGCACTTTTCAGATTTGCTTTCAATCCTGGTTTTTCCAAGTAAGAGCCACTTGGGTCAAGAATAACCATTGTATTTCCACTGATGATACTTGGAACATCTGTCAGATTGTAGACAGAGGTAAACCCTAACCCAAATTTTCCTATCGTGGAAGTATCTGCATGTTTTGTGGCTCCACCTAACTTTATCAAGTTCTTAAAGTCTGTGTCCTTAAAGGTAGCATTGTTAAAAGACCAGAGTGCAGGCCCTTATTATTAAGCCATTTCACTTTTGATCAGAGACGATCTTGCATCCCAATTTTGTCGCTCATCATACAGAAAACATACTTCAGTGGCACCAGCATCATCTGCGTTTTGAATCATTTCTTTTGGAATGGACAACCCATCAACATATGCATGAAGTAAAGAGTTCAGTCGTCTAGTTAATGATTCTGACTGATGATAATCATAATCTCTATCATCCAAGATATTTACTCCAAGCATTTGTGCAGTATTTTTGGAAATAGATTTATGAAGAAAGTGAACACCAGCCCCTTCATCCTCTGACTCTGTCTCCTCATTCAGCCAGTCACTGTATGTACATTCTTCAACATGCAATAGAGTCAGACACGAGTTGTCCCCTTGTTGGATTGGAAGAAAAATAGTTGCGGGCTTCTCTTGTTCTTCTGACAACCTGTTGACAATTTGTAGAACAAGTTGTGAATCTTTCTGAACTTCTGATTGTCTGGAGGAATTGTCTTTTCTAAAAGCACTCCCTTCTCTGTATGTGTCATGTTTCGATTTGATTGTTTCAAGCACCCCTGCAAGTAACTGAGGTGCAAGTTCCTGGTGACACCCAAGTGTCAACATCAAACTGCCCCAATGATGAAATACAGATGGAAGAGCAAATAGGTAAGGTTTTAAATCCATGTCTTTAGTCATCTGATCTATGAATACAGATGACGGATGCTGAAACCTTTCATCTATTCCTACCCATACAGAGGGGAATTCACTAAGCAGTTGGATGTGTTCCTTGGACAAGCTCACTGATGACAAATGCTTGTAGACATTGTTCAGCAGGGTCATGTACAGGTGGTGTGCCTGACTATAGTATGATGCTGAGAGATTCCGTAAATGTTTAATGACAGAGGTAACTGGAGGAGGAACATCCAACCCAAATAATACTTCCAATGGTTCTGGCATTTCTTCAGCTACACTCATGGTAGATCCGACTACGTGCAGGTATTTAGAACTACAAACAATGTTTGATGTTCCAAGCATTGTCATTTCTCCCGGAAACTGAAGTCGACCTGGATAGAAATCTGGCTTCTGTGAAATACATGGGATGCACTGAAGACCCTGTATGTTAGTTAGAGAATCTGGGTCAAAGTTCTTTTCATGATGAGTGAGAAACAAAACAAGACCCCTTGCTTTCAACAATGCGTCCTCTTTACTGGAAGCATTCAAACTTTGTATAATGTTTGCTGTTGTTACAAGTTCTGCAGCTGTCACCTCTTCTTCCCTTCGTAACCCCAACAGCGTCAGACCTTCCTTCAGCTGCCTGGTTCTGACATGTCTTGAGTGGGGGAATTTGTCCTCACCTATGAATAGCTGTGTCAAAAGAGATGATGCAGGGTCAAACAGCTGGCATGCTTGGAACGTTGTTGATCCTTTCTCAGATGAAAGAAATTTCACTCCACATGCTAGGTTTGCAACTTCATCATTTTCAAGCAGATAAGGGCAAGACAATACCAAGAACTCCATGAGCATAAGAAGATCCCTATCAGCCATTCCAATGGGATTTCCTTCAATGATGCTTTGTAAAGTGAGTATGACTGCTGCATCCAGTTTTATTTGCGATGCCCCTAGAGACACAGCTAGCGACCTTACAGCTTTGGGGGTAGACACTAGATAGACCTCAGAGTAAGGGATTGGAAATGGGGGTTCCAAAACAGGTGCCAGAATGCCCACATCTTCTAAACACTTTGACGACCCATCAGTTGCCATGAACATTTGAAGACTCCTTAAAATACCCTTTGACTTTGTGAAGTCTGTTGTACTTTCTCCCAAAAAACAAGTTAAGCTGTTTCTTTCCTCATGTGTTGCCTCTGTGTTGAATTGATTGATCTTTGTCTGTATATTGTCATTCTCTGACACAGCATCTAGTACTTTCATGACACCACTATGGGTTGGGTACTGTATTATCACTCCAAGAATATTCTTGGGTGTAATGTCTGAAATGCTTTTTAACACTACAACACCAAGCCTCCTCAGACAATCAGCCATGTGCTTAGGGAGTGAACTCACGCCATCTACCATCTCAACAATAAGTGGCTTTTGTAGTTCATGTAGACGTGTTTTTCCTTGCTCTTGTAATTCTGGAATAAGAGGCAGTGACCCAAACATACCACCAAGCTGATCACAGGAATAGCTCTTGTCGATGTAAGTCCACATTGTCCTCAACCAAGTGTCATCAACAGGTAGATGTAGATATTTGGGGTTGTTTTCACCGAAATGTTGTGCAACACATCTCTGCAGAAGACTTGGAAATACGTCACTGGTTATCAGGCCCACCTTGAGAAGATCTGGAAATCAATATGAAATGCAATTAAATACTCCAATATTACCAAATGGGCACATGAAAAAGTATTTCACTGAAATTCAAACTAATTCGAATCTAGCAAACACATTGAACAATTGTGCAAAGTCAAAAGTTGATTCTGAATCTGTTATGTTTAGTTGTGATAATTCAAACACTGATCGGTTCAGAATTGTTTAGTTCATAAAGGCCTTGAGTTTGTATTTATTTCAGGCCGACACAATTTTATAGATGTCATGTATGGCATTAAAACGTTCTCTCTGTGTGTTATAAGTAGTTTGAACTTGGTCATGAACATTGAACTGCCCCGAGGGTAATGTGAAATTTGTATAACATCATTCAGAGGCTTGCCTGAATATTCTCTGTTCATGCACCGATTATGATACATTATTATTGTTCATATGGTGCTGTCATCTGAGTTTTTCTATGATTCTCTTTAATAAGTTTTGATTTAACATTAGAATATTTGCATTATCTACCTCGATTCTGTTCACTTTGTAAGACTTGGCCAAGTTCAGGTGATGCCACAGTGTCCACTAGGATGGATTCAAGGCCAGGAAACAAAACCTCTGAATCAATAACATCCGTCCAAATGTATACATGTCCCTTTCCAATTTCTGTGAAACATCCATCCATTGTAGGCAAAAGGTGTAATCCACGTAAGAAGGCTACACATCCACCGGATAATAAATACTTCAGCAAAATCCTCTTTTTGGGCGGAGATAGACATCTTATGTAACAGTCATTTGATGTCAGAAGTGAGCAGACATGTTCACTAGAAACCATTGTTAAGGATGTGTTCAATATTTCTTCCAACAATGCCAAAACATATCCAGGCAAATCAACAATGTTTTGATTACACCAAAGATAAATATCCTTGACAACTGCTTTGACATCAGTAGCCAGGCTGGAATCAAGCACAGTGGCACATTCGGCTGTTATCCAACATCCACCAGCATTTTCTGTGAAAAAGATTGGAATGTTTTGCAGTTCTCTTAAAACTCCATCCACCATTGGTTTCCAATGTACACTGACATTTTCTTGACTTGGAACCAAGGAATACACCTGCTGTATCAGGTCATCTGGATTCTGTTCCTGTTGAGAATGCTGAATCAGCTCGTTTAGAATATTACAATAAACCTCTGGTAGCACTTCACTCACAAGACACTTGTTCCACTCAATATCCTTGTCTGTATGAGACTGATTCTGTAGCTGATCTGCTGTTGGCCATTTGATATGCCTTCGATTCTGACTTAAGGCAAAGCAGCCATTTACATGAACCTGCAGACCTGTGGGACTGTGACTCTCCATGGGAAGAGGGAGGAAACAGAACACATGACCTTCACATTTCTTACCAAGAGGAACAGCCAGGCCCACACGCGGACACCGTGACATTTCCTTGCAGAGTCTTTGTAGTCTTTCAGACATATCTCTGGCTTTGAACACATTGAGAATTACCCATTCCTGGCTTAATTTTTGTGACTTTATGAAATCTTCAGTTTCTATCTCAACATTAAGTCTGTTTTCAATGGAAGGGCATGTCAATTCACAGTCAATGCGTTTCACTTTTGAGGCAAAATCCATCCTTTGACGTTTAACAGATGCTAAACAGCTTTTGGAAAGCTGTACACAGAAAATCACCTCTTCCGTAGCTGCATGCTTCTGGAATAATTGAACTTTGTGTATGGAATTGAGAAAAAGTAGTGTAACTGGCGCCTCCGATCTCAACGCCTGAAATAGGTCCATTACACTCTCTTCTGTATATATATTTCCAGAAAGTTGTGATGTTTGAACCCTCAGAGGAAACCAAAATAGAGTTCCGTCATAACCAGCTGTCAAACACTCGTCTGAGAACCCAAATGTACCACTCAGGACCTGACTTAAAATATCTTTCACTCTATCTGTTAGATTCCTTAACTTTTTGGCGAAACACACTTTATGTGCTACTTCTTCTGGATTGAAGAAAAGGATGTGGTCACCGCTGATGATACATGGATAATCTGAAATATATAGCAAAATGTTTAAAAGGATGATTCATTTGTATTAATCATGCATGGCTATGGCCTTTATGATGGAGGATTGATCCCACTAGCAGCTGACTGTGTCCGGAAAGAGTGTTACTACCAAGTGCACTATTTGGGGTCAACAAATGATGACGATGTCGAATTGTCCTTTATCCTTGGTGGACATATTGACCATCTAACCTTCAATATGTTGAAGGAATGAACGTTAATACTCTCGAAATATCTCTACAAATGGGGGACATCACTTTTCACCACATTATGTATTGTAATTCTATTCATGTGAATATGTTTCTGGGTTGTAACTCCTAGAAAGGAATTTCTAAACTAGGGAATAGAAATATTATAAACAGGCTGCTTTGGAAATGTGCATTTGCGATTTGCAAGTTTAGTACTAACCTGTAATATGGAATACAGATTTGAAACCAAGTCCGAATTGTCCTATATTCTGTGACTCATTCTTGAGGCTAGTATGCAACATTCTGATACCTGCCCAATCCTTCTTCCTGAATAAAGCATCATTGAAGACACACAACGCAGGACCCTGCCAAAGAATGGATCAATTTATTTGAAAGTTTGATGAAGTCATTTACACCTATTGGTAACACTGAACATGTTGTCCTCGGGACACACAAATAAATAAGAACACACAACCCTTAATTAGACCATTTCTCCCATTGTATTTAGTTATGGTTAAAGACTAAAATCCAACATTACAATTGACATGGTAAAACCAAGACTGGCAAGAAGAGATATTTACATAAGCAATTTTATTCTGGTTGTTGCTATTTACACATTTCTACCTCAAACCCGATTTAAACACTAACTGAGAACATTGCCTGCCAATGTGATATAAGCATATGTACCTGCAAAGATTTAAGAAAAGTGTTCTGTTTCAATTCCTGGGGATCTATTTCAGGACGAATATTCCTTCCATCAAACATGATGTTGACAACTTCGGCTCCAGCATCTTCAGCATTCTGTATCAGCTCCTGCAAAGAGTTATATTATACCGTTATTATGTTATCATAGTTATATAATATTATCATAGCTACAGCAGCAATATATATCTCATTATAAGAACTGATGAGCACTGCCAGCTAATGTCTCCATTTTCCCCTGAAACTAATTAAATGTCTAAGATTATCAAGACTTATGTTAGGTATCTGTCTTACACAGACTTTTTTTGAGTACTTTCCGATCACACGCCTTAAGTATCTGCGATCGTCTTGGTTCTGGTTTAACAAAGACTTACTGTGAGTATCTGCACATCACCTAGGCACAGGTCCAACACTGACTCACCTTGAGTGTCTCCCCATCACCTGGGTAATGGTCTAACACTAATGCATGATAATGTGTCCAACATTTGGGAACTGGTACAACATGGGTTATCTGCCCATCACCTAGGTACAGGTCCAACACTCACCTTGAGTGTCTCCCCATCACCTGGGTAATGGTCTAACACTAACTCAAGATAATGTGTCCAACATTTGGGACCTGGTACAACATGGGTTTTCTGCCCATCACCTAGGTACAGGTCCAACATAGACTCACCTAGAGTATCCTTACCTGATTTATAATAGATTTACCTTGAGTATTTCCCCATCACCAAGGTCGAACACAATATCATGATAATGTGTCCAACAGGTGAGTACTGGTCCAACATCGACTCTCGCTGAATATCTCCCCAACAATTGGGTACTGATCGAACATGTGGGTACTGGTCCAACATAGACTCACATTGAGTATCTCCCCAACAATTAGGTACTGATCCAACATGTTGGTAATGGTCCAACAAAGACTCACATTGAGTATCTCCCTACCAATTGGGTACTGATCCAACATGTGCGTACTGCTCCAACAAAGACTCACATTGAGTATCTCCCCAACTATTGGGTACTGATCCAACATGTGGGTACTGCTCCCAACATAGACTCACATTGAGTATCTTCCCAACAATTCCGTACTGATCCAACATGTGGGTACTGCTCCAACAAAGACTCACATGGAGTAGCTCCCCAGCAATTGGGTACTCAACCAACATGTGCGTTTGTCCAACATAGCTACACATTGTGCATCTCCCTAGCAATTAGATACTGATCCAAGACTTGAGTACTGGTCCAACATAGGCTCACATTGAGTGTCTCCCCAACAATTGGGTATTGATCCAAAACGTGGGTACTGGTCCAACAAAGACTCACATTGAGTGTCTCTCCAACTATTGGGTACTGATCCAACATGTGGGTACTGCTCCCAACATAGACTCACATTGAGTATCTCCCCAACAATTGGGTACTGATCCAACATGTGCGTACTGCTCCAACAAAGACTCACATTGAATAGCTCCCCATCAATTAGGTACTCATCCAACATGTGCGTTTCGTCCAACATAGCTTCACATTGTGCATCTCCCTAGCAATTAGATACTGATCCAAGACTTGGGTACAGGTCCAACATAGACTCACATTGAGTATCTCCTCAACAATTGGGTATTGATCCAAAACGTGGGTACTGCTCCAACAAAGACTCACATTGAGTATCTTCCCAACACTTGAGTACTGATCAAACGCGTGGGTACTGGACCAACATAGACTCACATTGAGTATCTCATCAACAATTTGGTACTGATACAACACGTGGATACTGGTCCAACATAGACTCACATTGAATATCTCCCAAACAATTGGGTACTGATCTAACTCGTTGATATCAATATAGCCTCACACTGAGTATCTTCCCAACAACTGGGTACTTATCCAACATGTGGGTACTGCTCCAACATATTCTCACATTGAGTATCTCCCCAACAAATGGGAACTGATCCAACACGCTGGTACTGGACCAACATAGACTCACATTGAATATCTCCCAAACAATTGGGTACTGATCAAACACATGGGTACTGGTCCAACAAGGACTCACATTGAGTTTCTCCCAATCAACTGGGTACCGATCCAACATGTGGGTACTGCTCCAACATAGACTCACATTGAGTATCTTCCCAACAATTAAGTACTCATCAAACACGTGGGTTATGGTCCAACCTAGACTCACATTGAGCATCTCATCAACAATTTGGTACTGATACAACACGTGGATACTGGTACAACAAAGACTCACATTGAATATCTCCCCAACAATTGGGTACTGATCCAACATGTGGGTACTGCTCCAACATAGTCTCACATTGAGTATCTCCCCAACAAATGGGTACTGTTCCAACACGCTGGTACTGGACCAACATTGACTCACATTGAGCATCTCCCCAACACTTAGGTACTGATCCAGCAAGTGGGTTATGGTCCAACATAGACTCACATTGAGTATATCCCCAACAAATGGGTACTGATCCAACACGCTGGTACTGGACCAACTTAGACTCACACTGAATATCTTCCCAACAACTAAGTACTGATCAAATACGTCGGTACTGGTCCAACATAGACTCACATTGAGTATCTCAACAACAATCTGGTACTAATACAACACGTGGGTTATGGTCCAACATAGATTCACATTGAGTATCTCCACTACAATTGGGTACTGATCCAAAACCTGGGTGCTGGTCCAACATAGACTCACATTCAGTATCTCCCCAACAATTGGGTACTGATCCAATACGCTGGTACAGGTCCAACATACACTCATATTGAGTATCTCCCCAATAGGTGGGTTCTGATCCAGCAAGTGGGTACTGGTCCAACATAGACTCGCATTGAGTATCTACCCAACAATTGGGTACTGATCCAACACTTGCGTACTGGTCCAAAAAAGACCCACATTGAGTGTCTTTCAAACAATACGTGGGTTCTGATCCAGCAAGTGGGTACTGGTCCAACATAGACTCACATTGAGTGTCTTTCAAACAATTAGGTACAGATCAAACGAATGGGTTATGGTCCAACATAGACTCACATTGAGTATCTCCCCAACAGTTGGGTACTGGTCTAGCACGTGAGCACTGGACAAATATAGACTCACAATGAGTATCTCCCCATCAATTAACTACTGACCCAGCACTTTGGTAGTGGTCCAATATAGACTCATATTGAGTATCTCCCCAACAATTGGGTACTGATCCAAACCGGGGCTACTGGTCCAACACAGACCCACATTGAGTATCTTCCCAACAATTAAGTAATGATCAAAGACGTGGGTACTGGTCCAATGTAGCCTCACTATGAGTTTCTCCCCATCAACTGGGTACTGATCCAACACGTCGGTACTGGTCCAACATAGATTCACATTGAGTATCTTCCCAACAATTCAGTACTGATCAAAGACGTGGGTACTGGTCCAAAATAGACTCACCTTGAGTATCTCACCAACAATTGGGTACTAATACAACACGTGGGTACTGGTCCAACATAGATTCACATTGAGTGTCTTTCCATCAATTGGGTACTGATCCAACACATAAGTTCTCGTCCAACATAGACTCACATTGCGTTTCTCCCTATCAACTGGGTACTGATCCAACACGTGGGTGCTGGTCCAACATAGACTCACATTGCGTATCTCAACAACAATCTTGTACTAATACAACGTGTGGGTACTGGTCCAACATAGACTCACATTCAGTATCTCCCCAACAATTGGGTACTGATCCAACACGCTGGTACTGGTCCCACATACACTCATATTGAGTATCTCCCCAATAGGTGGGTTCTGATCCAGCAATTGGGTACTGGTCCATAATAGACTCACATTGAGTGTCTTTCAAACAATTGGGTACTGATCAAACGAATGGGTTATGGTCCAACATAGACTCACATTGAGTATCTCACCAACAGTTGGGTACCGATCTAACTCGTGGGTAGTGGTCGAACATTGACTCACATTGTGTATCTCCCAAACAATTGGGTACTGATCCAAAACGCTGGTACTGGACCAACATAGACTCACATTGAACATCTCCCCAACAATTAGGTACTGATCCAGCAAGTGGGTTATGGTCCAACATAGACTCACATTGAGTATCTCACCAATATTTTTGGTACTGATACAACATGTGGGTTCTAGTCTAACAAAGACTCACATTGAATATCTACCCAACAGTTGGGTACTGGTCCATAATAGACTCACATTGAGTGTCTTTCAAACAATTGGGTACTGATCAAACACGTGGGTACTGGTCCAACATAGACTCACATTGAGTTTCTCCCCATCAACTGGGTACTGATCCAACACGTGGGTGCTGGTCCAACATAGACTCACATTGAGTATCTCACCAACAATCTTGTACCAATACAACACGTGGGTACTGGTCCAACATAGACTCACATTCAGTATCTCCCCAACAATTGGGTACTGATCCAACACGCTGGTACTGGTCCCACATACACTCATATTGAGTAACTCCCCAAAAGGTGGGTTCTGATCCAGCAAGTGGGTACTGGTCCAACATAGACTCACATTGAGTATCTACCCAACAGTTGGGTACTGGTCCATAATAGACTCACATTGAGTGTCTTTCAAACAATTGGGTACTGATCAAACGAATGGGTTATGGTCCAACATAGACTCACATTGAGTATCTCACCAACAGTTGGGTACCCATCTAACTCGTGGGTAGTGATCGAACATTGACTCACATTGTGTATCTCCCCATCAGTTGGGTACTGATCCAACACGCTGGTACTGGACCAACATAGACTCACATTGAGCATTTCCCCAACAATTCAGTACTGATCAAAAACGTGGGTACTGGTCCAAAAAAGACTCACCTTGAGTATCTCACCAACAATTTGGTACTAATACAACACGTGGGTACGGGTCCAACATAGACTCACATTGAGTTTCTCCCCATCAACTGGGTACTGATCCAACACGTGGGTGCTGGTCCAACATAGACTCACATTGAGTATCTCACCAACAATCTTGTACTAATACAACACGTGGGTACTGGTCCAACATAGACTCACATTCAGTATCTCCCCAACAATTGGGTACTGATCCAACACGCTGGTACTGGTCCCACATACACTCATAT